GGAGCTGAGGGGATGGGAGGACCCAGGGAGCTGAGGGCCATGGGTCGCAGAATGGACCAAGACCACCCTAGGGGAGAAGCCCCATGGTCCATCAGCTGAGAGCACCCAGGGGTGAGGAACCGGGGATACCCCTCACTTAAGGGATGCCCCTCACCCCGGGGTCTCTTCCCTCCCTCCCTCCCTCCCTCCCCCCAGGTGTGCTGGCTCGCTCCAGAGCAGACAGCGGGGGAGCAGAAGCCCTACATGTACACGCAAGGCCAGGCCGTGCTCAACAGATCCGTCTTCCCCTGCTTCGACACCCCCTCAGTCAAATGCACGTATTCGGCCACGGTGAAGGTAAGCGGTGCCCCCAGGAGCACACGGGGGTGCAGACCCGGCTGTCGCCTTCATGCCCAGGGGGAGCGAAAGCCTCTGAGAGTTTGCAAAATTTGCTTGTGGGAAGCTGCCCGCTGCCCGGTGGGACACACCAAAACACTGGGGTATCGCAGCAGCAGCACCTCTGCTGGGTCTGTGTGCGGTGTGAGCACGTTGGAGGAGAAGCTCGTCACACCGCTTCAAAGCCTCTACCGCAGGGCCCCAGCAGAGAAGGCACTGAGAAATAATTCATTTATGCTCCTGTTTTGCTCTTATGTTCACCTTTAGATGAACACAAGCAGACCCCAGTGGTCCTCCTGTTTCTCCCCAGCTGCATATGCTGGGCATCACTTTGTGTGATGTCTTGTGAGCGGGTGCAGGCCATCCTGCTCTTCTCTTCCAGTGGGAAGTGGCCAAAATACTCAGTGCTTGATGCCAGAATATCAGCTGTTGGGATCAACTCGGTGTTTAAACCTCTCTGCTCTCCTTGTGTGCTGCAGTTGTCTAAGTAAATCATTATCACTGAAAACCCTATTTTTCCCCCTAGCAGCCTGAGGGCAGTGGGATGCCTGCTCCTGGTGTGTGTAGCAGTGAGAGGGTGACCAGGACAAGGGGGATGATGCTGGGCAGCATTGGGTCCTGGTGGCAGTGCTGGGGCTCCCGGGCTTCCAGGATGGAAGGAGCAGCTGCTGCTCCCAAGGTTTAGCACAAAACCAGGACTAAAAGATCCAAATTCCTCCTTGTGTGCAGGCAGTCGTGTGGTGGCACCGGCACTGGGCCTTCCCGGTGTGCCAACCTGCTGCTTACCGGTGTGACACCAAGCCAAGGCTGATGGCACGCGGTGGCATCAGCTGGTGATGCTGGAATTCGTTTATTTTGCTTCTACTGATTTCTGCCCTTAAAGATTTGGCAGCATCCACCCCACGGGTGAGCACGGGGCTCTGCTGTTGGAGAGCTCCAGCATGATGCTCTCTAACAAGAAAACCAGCTCCGCAGGAACTCACCCTGTGCTCGAGAGAACAGAGACTGGATCAGTCTCGCAGGGCTCAGCCCTGGTGGATCGGCCGTGGGTTCCGCGTTGGCTTGCAAACAGGAAAAGCGAGTTGCTGTGTAAGAAACGGGAGGAGAGCCAGTGTCTGAAGGATCAGCATCCTTTGCCCTTGCAGCATCTGCAGCTTCAGCATTTCTTTATCTCGCTGGCACCTCGCACAGCAGCTGCGGGTGTCCCAGAGTTGCACCCAGCCGGTGCATGAGCCCACGTGCCAAGTGATGCTGTCGCAGGGATGCAGCTGATCCTGAGTTGAAGCTTGGGACATTACTGCTCTGCTCTGCACCCCAAAACCTGTAGTGCCCACAAACCCGGCCACCTTCAGCACGCTGGGATGAGTTCACCATCAGACACTGTGGCATCCCCGACTGCGCTGGCCGACATCCCGCTCTGTACGGTACAGATCTGATGGATGTTTTCATCTGCGTGTCCAGGTCCCCGAGGGCTTCACGGCTGTGATGAGTGCCACGAGCTGGGAGAAGCAGAAGGATAACACCTTTGTCTTCAAGATGTCCCAGCCGATCCCCTCCTATCTGATCGCGCTGGCTGTTGGGGACATTGTGTCTGCTGATGTTGGCCCAAGGTAGGTGGCTCTGGAGGGGACCTGAGCGTTCAGCCCTGGCTGTGGGAGCTGCACTGATGCTGCTGTGCTGTGCTGTCCCGTGGCAGCTGCCTCTGCCCGTGCCGCTGGGCTCTGGAGAGCAGGCGAGCATGGAGACGCCGACCGTGAACATGACCCGGGCGGTTGCTCATCCGCTGTGCTCATCATGTGGTGCTGTGTCATCAGAGCTTGTGCTGCTGGGTGAGGGTGCTTCTTGCTCTTGAGAATGAGGAGGAGCCTCGGCGCTCGGTCCCCTCGCCTGCGGGGTTGTCCCTGGGGGTGCCCGTTTCACCCCCATGCACGGGATGGTGAGAAGGGGTCCCCATTCACAGAGGGTCCTGTGTTTCCTCCTAAGGCTGGAGGTTTGTTCGGTTCCTGGCTGTCACAGTGACTGTTTAAAAGCCTTTTGACTTTCAGACAGGGAAAGAAATCACAGCAGTTTGCACTCTCAGTCCCATTAGCTTCCTTTATCAGCAGGCTTTTATTTTGCTGTAGAATAAACATGCGCAGTTTCTGTCTGATGAAGCAATAGGGCAAAAACTTCCTCTTCTGCATACTTGGCCAGGAGCCGTGTCTGGGCTGAGCCCTGCCTGATCGAGGCTGCGAAGAAGGAGTACGATGGGGTGATCGAGGAGTTCCTGGCGGTTGGAGAGAAGCTCTTTGGACCTTATGTTTGGGGCAGGTACGGCCTCCTGTTCCTGAAGGGCTTTGCTCCCTGGGGCTGGGGAGAGGGCATCCCTCCATCCCGAGCAGTGTCTGCTGGAGGGGGTGGGTCTGACCCCGCTGTCTGCGCTTCCCGGCAGGTACGACATCCTCTTCATGCCGCCCTCCTTCCCCTTCGGTGGGATGGAGAATCCCTGCCTCACCTTCCTGACGCCCTGCCTGCTGGCCGGGGACCGCTCGCTGGTCGACGTCATCATCCACGAGATCTCCCACAGCTGGTTTGGCAACCTGGTCACCAACGCCACCTGGGGCGAGTTTTGGCTCAACGAGGGCTTCACCGTGTACGCCCAGAGGCGCATTTCCACCGAGGTTTATGGTGCGTGGGCTTGCCCGGCCGTGGGGTGCTGAGTCCCAACGCATGGCCGCGCTGTCGCAGGCAGGATCTGTGCGGGTCCGGGTTCTGTGCATCCCTCTGAGCGCTGTGTGTGGGGCTGGAGCCTGCCCTGCATCCCAGAAGAGGTGAAGTGTAGTGGCCTGCAATGCCCCAGGCCTTTGTGTGAGCAACAGAAGCGCCTTTGCTCCGAGATGGACGGAGCCCCCGCAGCCCTGTGCTGGGGATGTGGGCGCTGTGATCTTGCCCGGTGTCACCTTCCTCTTGCTCCTGCTGGGAGCTGATAGCAGCCGCCCTGAGCTCCCCCCTGGACACACGGTCACATCCAGCAGCTTGGCCATTCCTGGCACTGTTTGCTGCATCCAGCTGAATTTTAATGGCTCTAAAACCTTCTGGCTAACCAAGGGCTGGGTTCCTGTGCCCTCTGCGACTCCATCTCAATGCCTTCTTTATCGTTTCCCTCCTCTTACAGCTTGTAAGCTCCCATAGCAGCACCCCTTGCACTTGCAGGGGTCAGGTTGGGGTCTCCAAGTGCCTCCTGCTTGTCTCTGCCCAGGTCCAGCCTACACCTGCCTGGGGGCGGCCACAGGACGGGCCC